AAAAAAAAAAAAATGAAATGAAATGCATAAAGATCAATATCCTAGGCATTAGTGAGCTGAAATGGACTACTTTGGGCCATTCTGAATCAGACAACCATATGATCTACTATGCCAGGAATGACAATTTGATGAGGAATAGTGTGGCATTCATAGTCACAAAGAATGTTTCAAGGTCTGTCCTGAAGTACAACACTGTCAGTGATAAGATAATATCCATACACCTACAATGAAGACCAGTTAATACTACTATTATCCAAATCTCTGCACCAACCACCAAAGCCAAAGATGAGGAAATTGAAAATTTCTATCAACTTCTGCAGTCTGAAATTGACCAAAAATGCAATCAAGATGTGTTGATTATCACTGGTGACTGGAATGCAAAAGTTGGAAACAAAGAAGAGTTAGCAGTAGTTGGAAAATATGGTTTTGCAGATAGAAATAATGCTGGAAATAGCATGATAGAATTTTGCAAGACCAATGACTTATTCATTGCACATACCTTTTTTCAACAACACAAATGGTGCCTATACATGTGGACTTCACCAGATGGAATACACAGGAATCAGACTGACTACATCTGCGGCAAGAGGAGATGGAAAAGTTCAATATCTTCAGCCAAAACAAGGCCAGGAGCTGGGAACAGACCTCAACTGCTCATATGCACGTTCAAGTTAAAGTTGAAGACAATTAAAACAATCCATGGGAGCCAAAATATGACTTGATAATATCCCTCCTGAATTTAGAGACCATTTAAAGAATAGATTTGATGCATCAAACACCAATGACCGAAAACCAGAGGAATTGTGGGATGACATCAAGAACATCATCCACGAGGAAAGCAAGAAGTCATTAAAAAGACAATAAAGGAAGAAAAGACCAAAATGGATGTCAGAAGAGACTCTGACTTGCCCTTGAGCAGAGAGTAGCTAAAGCAAATGATCTGGAGTTAGAAGACTGAAAGGGAAGAACACACTTGGCATTTCTCAAGCTGAAAGAACTGAGGGAAAAAAAATTAAGCCTTCAGATGCAATATTGAAAGATTCTATGGACAAATATTGAATGATGCAGGAAACATCAAAAGAAGATTGAAGGAATACACAGTCACTGTACCAAAAAGAATGTTCATCCATTTCAGGATGTAGCATATGATCAAGAACCAATGGTATTGAAGGAAGAAATCAAAGCTGCACTGAAGGACTTGGCAAAAAACAAGGCTTCAGGAATTGCTGGAATACCCATTGAGATGTTTCAACAAACAGATGCCCCACTGGAGGCACTCACTCAGTTATGCCAAGAGATTTGGAAGACAACTACCTGGCCAACTGACTGGAAGAGATCCATATTTGTATCCATTTCAAAAAAAGGTGATCCCACAAAATGTGGAAATTATCTAACAATATCATTAATATCACATGCAAGTGAAATTTTACTGAAGATAATTTCAAAAATGGTTGCAGCAGTATATTGGCAGAGAGCTTCCAGAAATGCAAGCTGGATTCATAAGAGGACAGGGAAGGAGGGATATCATTGCTGATATCAGATGGATCTTAGCTGAAAGCAAAGACTACCAGAAAGATGTTTACTTATGTTTTATTGATTATGCAAAAGCAATTGATTGCATGGATCATAACAAATTATGGATAAACTTTGAGAAGAATGGAATTCCAGAACACTTGATTGTACTCATGAAGAACCTGCACATAGATCATGAGACTGTTTGAACAGAACAAGGGGATACAGCATAGTTCAAAATCAAGAAGGGAGTGAGTCAAGGTTGTATCCTTTTGCCATACTTACTTAACTTGTATGCTGAACAAATAATCCAAGAAGCTGGATTATATGAAGAACATGGCATCAAGATTGAAGGAAGACTCATTAACAACCTGTGATATGCAGATCACACAACTTAGCTTGCTGAAAGTGAGGATGACTTGAAACACTTACTGATGAAGATTAAAGACTAAAGTCTGCAGTATGGATTACACCTCACTAAAAAGAAAACAGAAATCTTCCCACTGGTCCAATAAACAGCTTCACGATAAATGGAGAAAAGATTGAAGTTGTCAAGTTCTAGAATGAACACCAATGGAAGCAGCAGTCAAAACATCAGTGATGTATTGCATCAGGCAAATCTGCTACAAAAGACCTCTTTCAAGTGATGAAGAGCCAAGATGTCTCCTTGAAGACTAAGGTGTGCCTAACTCAAGCCATGGTATTTTCAATCGCCTCATATGCATGTGAGAGCTGGACAGTGAATAAGAAAGATCAAAGAAGAGTTGATGCTTTTTAGTAGTGGTGTTGGCAAAGAATACTAAATGTCCCATGGTCTGCCAAAAGGATGAAGAAATCTGTCCTGGAATAAATGAAGCCAGAATGCTCCTTGGGAGTGAGAATGGCCAGACTTTGTCTCACCTACTTGGTCATGTTGTCAGAGGAACCATTCTCTGGATAAGGATATTATGCTTGGTAAAGTGGAGGGTCAACGAAGGGGAAGGCCTCAGTGAGATGGATTGACACAGTGACTGCAACAATGGGCTAAGATATAGCAAGGGTCATGAGGCTGGCACAGGACTGGGCAATGTTTTTTTCTGTGGTGCGTAGGGTCGCTGAGTGAGAGATGATTCGATGGTAGCTAACAACAACAACAACTATAGCTGACTCACAGTCATTTTAAAAAACATCTCTAGTTTTTAAATTCCTCCAGAAAAATAATTTTATTATTGTGAATCTGAAATTTTCTAACTCCTCTGGTGGTGTAGTTCCTAAGGCATTTGATTGCTAACCAGAAGACTGGCGGTTCAAACCCACCAGCCACTCCTCGGAGTTTGGGCAATCTACTTCCATAGTGATACCGCCTTGGAAACTCAAGGAGGGTTCACTATGAGTCGGATCTGACTCGACAGCAGTGAGTTAGTTTTATTATTTTCCTCATTCCTTAGGTCTCTGGGTGGTGCAAACACTTTGTACTTTAGTACTAACCTAAAGGTTCAAGCCCACCCAGTGCTGCTGTGAAAGAAAGGCTTGGTGAACTGCTGATGTAAAGATTACAACCCAGAAAACCCGATAGCAGTTCTACTCTGTGACACGTGAGGTTGCTATGAGTTGGAACTGACTCAATGGCAATGGCTAGTGGGTACCTATTCCTTATTTCACTCTATTGTCTCAATTTTTTAAAAATAGTGTAGAAGCTTATTACTCTAAGAGGTTTTCTATAATGTAAAATAGTAACAGAAATCACATATCTAGTCATCTGTGGGCTGAATCTGATTTATTAATCAGTTTTCATAGACCTACATAGTGTTTGGAAATTTTAAAAAAATCTTTGTCATAATTAAACATCACAGATCATACTCTGAAATTTAGATTTTTAGCCTCTCTTGAGTTAATTGAAAGATCTAAGTATATGCAACATGGATTTCTGCATGTAAACAGTTGACTGGAGCTGAATGACAGGCATCCCATTTACAAATCACATACATCTTCCTGCTTTAATCATTCCCATTTCCTGCCAATTCCCTAAGGATATATGAGTTTGTTATCTTTCCTAAAGTGAAAAATGTGATTCTTTTTTTAACTGTGGAGGTGCTATAGTGAGATGTAAAATATTTCAAGTCAGGCATGAGAAGTTTCATGTAGGTTCAAAAATATTAGGGGCTACCCATGAGTTCAGAAAAAGTTGATTATGAATGTCAAAAATTTTAGAGAGGTCAAAGGACTTATATTTCATGTACCGGTTACCCTTGGGCTTGAGAAAAATGTAGCTGTTTTCTTTCACCCTGCTGTTTTCAGTGATTAAGTTAACTTTTTTCTTGGTAGGTCAGTCCACCTGGGGTTCTCTGTTTGCCAGTGCTGAACATCCCAAGAACTGAATTCAACTATTTCACCGAGACAAAGTTTATTTTAGAAGAGTTAAATATCTCTGAATCATTCCACATATTCCGAGATGAAATTAATCTGCATCAGCTAAATAACGAAGGGAAGTTATCTTTAACACTTGTTGGCCGCAACGTGCTGGCCAGGTAAGGTTCAGTGTGAGACTCTGGGAGATTGATTCAGTGATGAAAGCTCTTGGCGTAGCATCACCTTGTTTGGAAGTCCCTGTATGGTGTAAATGATGAAAGTGCTCAGCTGCTCACTGAAAAGTTGGAGCTTGGAGTTCACCCAGAGGGACCTGGGAAGAAAGGCCTGGTGATCTACTTCCAGAAACTCAGCCACTGGGAACCCTGTGGAGCACAGTTCTCCTGTGACACACATGTGATCGCCATGAGTCAGAATCAACTCTACAGCAACTTGTTTTTATTAAGGCAGAGGACGTTTAGAGAAAAGGGAATATTTTTTATTTTTCTACCACAAAGTTTGGCCTATGTTGATCATCTACTTCTCCATTTTCATTTCAAATAAGACATCTTTGAGTGGAAAGTTCTTATAAAACTGACCAAAGTCATAATTTAAAATAAACTCTCTTCAAATGTTTACTTATCACAGCACAGTAGTTCTATGTATCAATGCTAAAAATATATAACGAAAATTAAAATTAAACACTAAGTAAAACTGAATGATTAGTAACAGGCAAATCTCAGTAGTGAACTAGAAACTTATGTGGAGATGGGCTATGAAAGTCACTGATCATTGGTTTATTCATTCATAGTATTTTTTACTATAAGAGCTGGAAGGAGTTTTTAGAGTTTGTGTAGTTGAAACTTCTTATTTCATAGGAAAAGAAACCCAAAACCAGTTTTGCAAATGATAGCCCAAGTCCCATATACAGTTGCTCGTAGAGCTGAATAGAACTTGGATCTTCTGAGTCCTTTAATAAGTACATTAGAGTCTTTACAAGAATTTAAAGGTATATAAAGAGGAGCAAAACACATGCTCTGCCTTCAACCTCACAACTCAGCACAAAGGTGCCCTTCTGATAAACTTTCTATGGCAGTTAAATGAAGAGTCATCAGTTAAGAGCTCAGGAGTTTGAGATGTTAGTCTTTTGCATAGTTTGCCAATTTGCTAATTGATGACATCAACTAGTGAACATTGACCTGAACATACATGAAATAAGAACTTGTGTCAGTTCCTAATTTTTTATTTAACCTTTTTAGGAAGTATATTTTTGTATGGATGTATTATAATGTTATACATGCAATTCATTTAAGTCTAAAAGTGTTTTGAAAAATAATCTGTGCATGGCTATTTTTGTCCTCATGCTGTTTGAAAGAAACAAAATTCGTTTGAATAGTATCTATGAATCAGTTGTTGACACTGGTTGAGAGCGGATGCTGTTATTTGACTGACTTTAATTATCAGTATTCAGTATAATCACATGCTTGACTAAATTTATTAATTTTTTCAAGACTGCTAATGGAGCTCTGGTGGTGCAGTGCCTAAGGCATTTGACTGTTAGCCAGAAGGCTGGCAGTTCAAACCCATCAGCCACTCCATGGAAGGAAGATGAGGCAATCTACTTCCATTAAGATTTACAGCCTCGGAAACCCAATGGGGCGGACTGTGAGTTGGAATAGACTCAATGGCAGCGAGTTTTTTTTTTTTTTTTATGTCAGTAGAGCTGGATAAAGACAATATAAGAAGCCAGAAGAATGCATTATGCAACATTGCATGGCATTCACTCTTAGAAAGAGTTTTGTTCCTAGTGAAAATGGAAATAGTTAGGCTGATTCTGAGACTGAAGTTGTGAATTCTGGCTTTGGGATTGTTTATGAAATAGAATGCTTTAAAAAACATAAATTTATATATTTGTTTCCTCCATGGCTACTCATTTGTTTTTGACAAGCACAAGGAATAAAGTTAATTATATCCATGCCTTTCTTCCTGCTTTTGAAAAAAACCAATTCTATCTCCCATATAAAGAATGATGGTGAAAGTAAATTAGTCCCATAGTATTTTTTTTTTTTTTCTACAGCACAGTGTCTGGATGAACAAGCTTTGAAGCCCAATTGTCAGGGTTTAAATACCAGCAAGTTCACTTACTAGCTGCATAACCATGATCAAATTTCTTAATATTTTTCTGCCTCAGTTTTCCCATTTTCAAAATGGGGATTTTAATAGAACCCATTTTGCAGGATCATTTTTTAGTATAAAACATGATAATATACATAAAGTGTCTATAACAGTGTCTGGCACATAATGGAAGCTGACTAAATGTTATCTGTTATTATTTTTGTCCCTGGGTAGTGCAAATGGTTAACATGCTCTGCTGCTGACCAAATGTTGTAGGTTTGACTTCATCCAGAGGTCCGTTGGAAGAAAGGCTTGGCAATCTACTTCCAAAAAATGAGCCATTGAAAATCCTGTGGAGCACAGTTCTGCTTTGATACACATGGGGTCACTATGAGTCAGAATCAACTCGACAACTGGTTTTATTCTTATGATTGTTATTTACCAGAAAAAACAAGAGACAGAATTGCTAAGGTGTGAAATTATTCTAAGATTCTGGGAAGAGGGTGGAATTAGTTGAAATGAAATGCAGAAACATTAAATAAAGTTCTACTCTTCTGAGCCATTTGAGCTTACTGATTTTTGCCTATTGAGAATAGAAAAAGGATAGAGGATGCCATTTGTGTGAAAGTAGAGATTAAATAAGTACATGTAAGAAGAAGACAACATCTCATATCTCTATCTTTCCCTCTCCTTCATGTGCTTTACAGTGAGGACAAAACTTTAGAATCAGCAGTTGTCAAAGTCATCAATCCAGTTGAGCAGAGCGACGCTGGGTTTGAGTTCCGAGAGTCTTCCTCCTCCCTTGTGGTGAAAGAGATTCTCCAGGAAGCTCCCGAGCTCATCACTGAGCAACTGGCTCATCTCCTCAGAGGTGAGAGATGACTCTTCCTAGTAAACACTGGGGGCTTAATGGTGTGTCGCCTGACCTGCTCATGCAGAAGGAGTGTGATCCATTCTTGGGTTAACTGTCCCTTTAAAGACCACAGGAAGCTTCATCGGAGAAGCAGGGAGTAAAGAGTTTGTGAAAGAGTAGCATTATATTGAATATTAAAAATGTGCATTTAAAACGAGGCACAGAAGATCTTTGCTGTTTCTCTAGACAAGAATATTAAGTGGAGCTGCTGCACCTCAGTTGGGGAGCTGGAATAGCTCCCCTGGCCATATTAATAGCTTTAACAGAGGTGATTCTTGTCACTTGACAATGTGAGTAAGGCCCAGAACTCTATATTCCCACACTGAAATATCTCCTGACACATAGTCATGCTTGGTTTACGTTATACTGCTGGTAGGTCAAAACACACACCTTTCCTTTTGAGGATATTGTGTCATGGCTTTTGTTTTGGTTACTTCATGCCACTCTAACAGAAATACCACAAATGGATGACTTTAACAAGCAGGAGTTTATTCCCTTACAGTGTTGGAGGCTAGAAGTCCGAGTTCAAAGTGCCAGGCTCTCCTTGAGCTCAGCCCTGCCTCCTGCTCCCGGCCCACTGAAGCTAGAGGCTTTCTTCACTCAGACAGCTGCTGGCTGCTGAGGCTGACAAACCCAAGGTTGAAAATTAAAAAGGCACAGTCCTGCTATTACCAAACCACATGGCAGGCCATTAATTCAAGTCCTTTGAAAGTCTCAAGATCAGCAGAGCATGGCAGGCTGCTGAATGAAGACTTGGCTACTTGCAGGATCCAAGTGTGCCAAAAAGCTGCGGACCATTCCCAAAGATTTTCCTTATAAATGGGAAGCAGACCACATCCCTAAAGTAGCTACTCAGCTGCTTGTGGCAGATTCCACCATGGAGCTGATTGCCAGTCTCATCATAGGGAATAACTACCACCAGCTGCCTGCCCAAGCAAAACCAGGCTCAGCCAAGGTGACACATAACCTTAACTACCACAGCTTTTATAGTGAGATTTCCCCTCCTTCACCACCATCTTGTAACATAGTCCATCTTCGATCAGCCTCTGTGAAGCCCTGGAGGCTTAAACACAGCATCATAAATTATTCTATTAATCTTTTTTTCATCTTATCAGTGGAACCACGGCTTCCAAAGAGTGGTTTGCAAGCTGGAAATTGTGAGTGTCAACTTGACTTTGAGCCAGATTCCCACAAAAATTAATTTATACTCTTTGCTTAGGATACTGTCTTGATTTTGTATGAAGTTTTTCTTTCCTTTTAACAATCTATCTTGCACATGTAGACAAGAATTTTCTCAGAAGTATTTAACAAAGGAAAATGAAAACTAATAACGAATGTATTGAAGGAACTGAAAAAAAGACTGACTTTTTTCTTTACTCCCCATGACTGTATCACAATGTGGAGAAAAAGGGACACAGAAGTTATTACAATTCTTGTAAATGTTTTAGAACTAAAAGCTTCAGTAAACCTGCCCTTAAATATTTTTCTGGCTATGGATGAAAATACTTTATATGAGACTGTACCCTCAACTAAAGTAAGTAAGCACATTCATTTATCTTTATAACCATGCAGAGAGAGAATAAAGGTAATTGGGGATTTCAGTCAAGAGGAAAGTTGTTTGACAGCACAAATATATGGTGCAGGAAAACACTGGAGATTATTGTGTTTAAATACTTTGCAAATTAAGAAGTTTGATATATTGTTAGATATATTATTGTTTATTAGGAAAGAAATGCAGTCAATTAATAGCGCATAAAAATAGTTCATCAAGATTTTCTACAAATTATAAAATAGTATTAAACTGTAATGCATTCATACAAAGAGTGATTTTGAGATTGTTCTTCTTGATTATGATGATATTCAGACTTAGGGAGTTAGAGGGGATGGAGATCCTTTTGTTAGTCATCTCAGTTTTAGTTTGTAGAGCTACCACGAGGAGTGGAAAAGGATCTTATTTTTTCATACTGCTGGATATCTTTCAAAAGGTGAGAGAGTGGGAAGCTGACACAACATGGATATTACCACACTGTCCCTTGGAATATGGGATGTGAAAGGATAAAGAGCTGCTACCCATGAAGACCGCCACCCATGTGTCAGTTTGTCAATAGAGTGGTGGCTTGGGTATTGCTACAATGCTGGAAGCTATTTCACTGGTATTTTAGACACCAGCAGAGCCACCCATTGTGGACAAATTTTGGTGAAGCTTCCAGAATAAGACAGACTAGGAAGAAAGGTTCTGATATTCTACTTCCAAAACTCAGCCAATGAAAACCTAAATGGTGTAGTTCCAATCACAATACAATATAGCCCAGTGTAATGCTGGAAGCTGAATCTCCTCATTTGGAAGGCACTATGCAGTAGCCAAGGAGCCCTGGTGGTGCACTCATGGTTGTTCGCTGAAAAATTGGTATTTTGAACCCACCAGTGGCTCCACAGAACAAAGATGTGGCAGTCTGCTCTTGTAAATATTACAGCCTTGGAAACACTATGAGGTAGTTCTACTCTGACCAGAGTTCTAACTCTGGTCACAATGAGTTGGGATCAACTCAAAAGCAGTGAGATGGGCACAGTAGCAACAACAATGGACTGAAACACACCAATGATCATGAAGATGGTGCAGAATCAGGCAACATTTCATTCTATTATACAGTAAAATCTGCAGAAGCTGGAACTTGTATAAGGTAGAAGTCTGTCAAAGAACGAAAACTCAAGCATTTCCCACTGAATCACCCCACCCACTGGTTGAGTGCCACAACTCACTCCAGCAACACTGGATTGATGACAGACAGCAGCTAACATGCTCCCACCCTGACCTCTGCTTTTTTACATGATCAGTGATCAGAAACTCACATTCACACTCCCACCTTCTACCAAATTCACCTGGAGACAGGTGGTGAGTGTCTCAGTGTGCTAAACTAGAGACCAGAGTAGCATGCCCACCCTATTTTCCAGATATATAAACAAAAAACCACAGTAAAGCAAACCAGCATGCAGTCAACATATAAATACAATATTAGCACAATGTCTCAGAGACTACAGACAACATCAAATCAACAACAACACAGCAACAAAAAACAGGACAAGATGGCTCAATCAGGTGATTAAAATATAAGGCCAGTAAGTCTTCTAGAGGAAGAAATGGTAACTGTAACTACCTGATTAAGAATTTAAAGGAATCATATTTAGGATCCTTCAATAGATTAAGAACGAGATCAAGGAAAACACAAGCAAAGCCCTAGTAGAATTTGGAAAAACAATACAAGAACAAATTAACCAAATAAATGGAAAATTAGAAACCATACAGGAACATCAAAAGAAGTCCACAAGATTAATACAAAAATTTCAGAAATTTAAATTCCTTTGCAAGGGCAAAGGAATAGAATTGAAGCAATGGAAGACAGAATTAATGAAATTGAAGACAGGTTTTTTTTTTTTTTTTTTTAAATTGTGCTTTAGGTGCAAGTTTACAGAGCAGAATTTGTTTTACATTAAACAGTTTGTGTACATTTTATTTCACACTCCAATTACCATCCCCAACCGTAACCTGCTCTCCTCCTCTCCCTTCCCTGTGACTGCCCTCCTTCACTGTGCCCTTCTTAACTTTGCACTCCTGTCTGTCCAGCTTTCCCTCCATGTGAATACTGTCCCTCTGGTGCCCCATGGCCTATTGCTCCAAAGGGTGTATCTCTGTAGAGTAGGTGGGTGCATCACCCTTGGTTGGGTGTTCTGCATGTGGGTCTTTCTACTGTTGGACTCAGAGCCATACCTTGTGTGTGAGTCCTATCCCAGGTCCATGCTCTTGGGGGTCCCACCAGACTGCATCCAACCAGTAATTCTTGTCATTATTGTGTTTTTGAGTTTTATTCCACATAATCCCTCCCATTCTATCTAGGATCTCCAGTTTTGATGCCTTCCAGAGTGATTGGCATTGATAGCCAGGCACCATCTACTTCTTCTGGTCTCCAGGTCCATCATATCCTTAGACTGATTATTTCCAAATGCCCTTGATTTTCTTCACTCTTCTTTGCTTCAGATGAGAGGGGACCATTAGCTGCATCTTAGATGGCTGCTTGAAAGCTTTTAAGACCCCAGTCACTACTCATGACAGTAGGTTGTGGAACAAGATTTTTATGTACTGTGTACAGTTGAGCTCAGTGTCCCCCCAATACCATGGTCCTGAGTTGGCAAGCCCAGTAGTTCTCTCTCCTAAGGTGTTTGGCTATCTCTGAGGGATTACTCCAACTCTGAGGACACATATTTTAATACTAATCTGTTAGAGGAATAACTAGAAAAAAGAATGAAAAAATAAATAAATAAAAGGAAAGCCTAAGAATTATACTGGACACCATGGAGAGGAATAACTTACATATAATCAAAATTTCAGAAGAGGAAGAGACAAAAATAAAAAGCACTGAGAAAACTGTCAAAGATTAGTTGGAAGAAAATGTCCTTACTACCATTAAAGATGAGAAGATATGCATTCAGGAAGCTCAATGAACCTCAAATAAGATAGACTCCAAAAGAAAATAACCAAGATATATCATAATCAAACTTTCCAAAGAAAACAGCTCAGGAAAAATGAAAAGTTACCTATAAAAGAGAACCAATAAGAGTAAACTTCGATTTCTCAACAGAAAATATGCAGACAAGAAAGCAAAGGGATGACACATATAAAACCAGGAGAGAAAAAAATTGCCAACCAGGAATTATATTTCCAGGAAAATTGTCCCTCAAATATATTGGCTAAATTAGGACACTTTCAGATAAATAGAAATTAAGGAAATTTGTTAAAAAAAAAAAGACCAACCTAACAAGAAATGTCCTTTGGACAGAGAACCAACAATGGCAGACAACAACCTGAGATTAA